CCCCCCACAGGAAGTCAGCGATGTTTGTTTGTTGTAGTGGAAAGTGTCAGTGAACGGTGACTAACCCCCCCCCCTCATGAAAACACCCTGAGGGCTGAGCAGAATAAACACAGGCAGCGTGCTCTCACACTTCATCGCCTCGTCAGTTCACGATGACTCACTTCAAGTCACCACAGAGTCACAAGACATTTTACAATGCTCCTGCCATCACATCCTATAGTGTCAACCACCACTGTGTCACTTTTACTGAGCAACAGCGCCCTCTGCAGCCACACGGGGTGAATCGTTCAGTCGTAAACACTGGACTGAACGCTGGATGTTATGTTATTATTATTTTCAGTTTCCTGCTGAATACTGGAGATAAACTGTGGTTTTTAAAAACTTCTACGTCTTTTTAACTTCACTCTTCAACTCGCTGGCCTGTGACCGTTGAAGCTGTGACTCTCGGTCAGTTCTTCTCACAGGAGATCGAACCCACCCAGTAAAGTTACGTAGAACAGACGTTCAGGAAGTGAAAGAGGAAACTTTTTCCATGTTCACACTCACTCACTCTTTTTAATTTGAGGTCAAACAGTTGCATAGTGTTGCGTTAACACTCTGAACACTTTGACCTGCGAGGATGCGAGAGGTCCTTGAAGAGTTGAGTTGAGTTTGTCGTCAGGTTTCAGTTCTGCTCTCATAACATCCTGTGAACATCTGCGAGAGACAGAACATGCGTGCAGTCAAAGCAGAGGATTGTGGGGTTTTTTTCGTAGTGACCACAGTAAAGCTTTAGAATAAAAAAATGTTCTCATGTTTTTATTCATGTTAGTATGTTGGGGGATTTTGGAGACGAGATGGATCAGACGTCGTCCCGCATGGACTCGGTCCTGAAGAAGCTGGAGAAGGTGTCTCACATGACCAGCAGTAAGTTACCACACACACACACACACACACACACACACACACACACACACACACACACTCTCGGAGGCAGACTGGTCAGCAGATGCTCTTTGTGTCTCACTTTTGCTTTTAAAAAATCAACCACACGTGTCTTCAAGGTTTAGAACGATTCTCCACGTTCAGACATTTCAGTGAACATCTCAGTTGAGAGCATACGAGGCCCAACAGTTCGCTAACATTCAGTAAAGCTGCAGCACATTTCTCTCACTCTAAAGAACGGATAGAAAGTCGTCCTCACCTTTATCCAAATCCAAAACATCCCCCACATGAAGGTAATGAGCTTTGTGTCTTTCTTGTCCCTCAGGTCGGAGGCAGTGGTGCGCCATCGGTGTGCTGGTCACCATCATGATCGTGGTCCTCATCCTCTTCTTCGTTCTCGGACGTTAGTGACCTCTGACCTCTCAGCCACACTCACCGACTCCTCCCTGTCTGTGCGGTTGGATGGATGGACAGATAACGGGAAGAGGAATGTGTCTCTCCTCCCTCACCCTCCCGTCTCTTCCTTTCTTCTCCACTATGGGGAAACTGGAGAGAAGTTTGGACGCTGTCGTTCTCCTCCCGCAGCTTTTAGTGATTCTGGTGTATGTCAGCAGCAGAGCTTAGACTCGGGGGTGGGGGGGGGGGGGGGGGGGGGCTGCTGGTTTAATCTTTTCATACTGGTACATTTCGGTTATTGTTGGAAATAAAGGTACTCACTGGGAGGGTCAGGACGTTATAGCTGTCCGCTTAAAATCACATTTGCAAAGTACAATGGCACCCAGTAGAGAACATTCCCCGCCAAGACCCAACAGCCCCTTCAGATTCAGTGTTTCCACGACTCACTGAGAAATCTGTGAAGAAACTACGCGTTCAGTTAGTTTCAAGAAGTCAAAAGATTTGAAAGTATTTTAAGTAAGGGTGGACAGACGGAACAAAACGCCAATGACGAGAGATAACGTGACATTATTTTCATTTCCCGTCATTAACTGTTGAATCTGTAAAATTGGATCATCTGTGTTTTTAGCTGACAGAAGCAGCGTGGGAGGGAGGACATGGTGTTGCCTTAAATCTATTTTTATACCGTTATTAAAAGTGCATTCTGTTCATGTGCCTATGTGCGACTCGGTTTCGGACGTGATTAACCAATCAGTAGTTAAACGTGAAGCAGTGATTGGACAGAAAGTCTGTGAGTTGTCCTCCGCTCTGACACGACAGCAGCTGATTTTACAGGTGAAGACGAGGAACGTGTGAAATCAGCCGCTGTGTTGTGTCAGCTCAGAACACGCAGACTCGCAGTATTCACGGCACGAGGCCTCTGAGCGGAGGTCAGGGCTGCGGCCGGACGCCTTCGTGCTCCTGAACGTGGTTAAGCTCACGATTGGCTGAGGCTCCGTCACTCTCGCTGGGTGAAGGAGCAGCAAATGGGTTTCCCCTGATCTATTTTTTTTTTTTTTGACAAGCTTCAGCTAATGAGTGGAGGAACAGTTGCTGGGCAGGATGTGTCCACACGCAGCCCAGATTTAGACCTACAGCGCCCTCTGCTGGAGGCTGTCGGCCATGTTTTTCCTTTGTGTCACGTCAGGTAACACTGCCCACATCAGGGTGTGTTGCAGTAGAAATGCAAACTGATGCTGTCATTTTTGTAAATCAACGTTTCTCCTGTAAAAAGGCTTCATGCAGTTTCTTTCATCAACCAGTCACAGAAGAAACAAAACAAATCCAGAACATGTAATTTTATATTTATATTTCCCCCGGAGACTATTTCATGTTTTTACCTCTGAGGTCAAATACGCTTTGTTCAAGATAAAAGATCCGTCACTGCCAGAGCTCTTTTCGATTTGGTCGTTCATGTGTGATTTTGATGCGCTTTACATATTCCAGCCTCAAATGTTACAGTGTGGGAAACTGTGAGAGAATCTCAACGTGGTCGACAGCCATCGAAATATTAAAGGATCGATTGTAAATCTCTGTTTTTGCTGTTTGAAATATAAACCTGATGATTTCTTTTCCGTGTCGTCACTACAGCTACATCACGATCACTTCTCTTTGGTTCTTTCAGAGAGTGAGATTAAAGACATCACAAGAATCAAGTCGTCATTTTTGGCCACGAGAATTATATTTTAGTAAAGTGAATATATTGGGAGAATTAATCATAAAACAAAAAAAATTAATCATAAACCTTTTCAGTCACGACTTCATTCTCGTGATAAAACTTTGTTCTTACAAAGATTCTGCTCTTTAATGTCAAACAACACATGCATCTATTATTTACTCCAGTGAATAAAAAGGTTGCAAAACCTTTCTTTCTTTTTTTTGTTCTCCTAGAATTAGATTTTTTGTTGTATTTTGAGGATGTCATGTCACAAGCACTACAAGAATAATCGATGTTACTTGGCAGCTGCTGCTGTTACCGGACAAAGAAACCAACACGGTTACTAACACTCACATTTCTGAAATGATTCACTGAGATGTTTTATTAAACTTGTTTAACATGAAGAAATAAATGGCAGTGGTGTATTATTATTATTATTATTATCATCATCCTCATTTAATGTGTTGTTCTGATTTTCTCTGCTTCTTGTAGTTCAGACATGTTTCAGTGTATTTCGACGTCTGGGCTGTAGTTCTCTCCATGATTGCTCTCACTGTCCTGCAGATGTTATAGGAGTGACTTTTATAGCACATCTGTCCGTCCCTCACATGTGGCTCTCTAAAGTTTCTACGTTTTCTTCCCCACGAATGAGGTTTTTGTTAGTTTTTCCATCCTTTTGTTCAGGGCAGAAGATTTCGCACCTTGACTGATTGATTGATTGATTAATTGACTGATTGATTAATTGATTGATTGATTGATTGAATGTCCTGAAAGAGCTGAACTCTGATGTTTGAATGGTTGAGATCAGTCGAAGCAGAAACATAGAATTGATAGAAAAACTGTGTAAATGCTGACAAACATACTCAATAAATTAAATGCAAACGAAACCTAAACATGATGAAAATGTTTTTAAGCTTTGTTATTTTTTTAGATAAAGATCCCAGAGACGGTAAATAAAGACCCAACACATGCATAAGGTCATTCCTGTTTGTTACAAACCTTTTATTAAGATTTTTTTCCTCATTTTTAATCAGTCTGGTTTATTTTTCTCTTTACAGTAGTTAATGTGCAATTATCTTTATTACTGGGTCACAGTTAGGAATTCACAAAGTTATTGGCACTTGGAACACATGGGGGAAACACTGGCATGTACACAGGGCATGGGGGCGGGGGGGTGGCGCAAAGGGGCATCAGGGCTATGTTTTGGATGGGGGGGCAGGGTGGGGTAACACGGCAGGGCTGGGGTAAAGGTCTAGGGGTGCGTGCGAGCACACGCGTGTTCAGGTGAGGTTGGGTATTTTCTTTGACATCAGTAGACGCTACTGCATTGTTTTTGTTTGTTATAATTTTTTGAAGTTCTCCCGCCCCCCCCCCATTTACTTCCAAAAACGTTTTCATTTTTCTGAGATATGAAGAATAATAAAGAATAATACCTCATGCTGCGAGTGCACATCTAACAATCAAACTTCGATAGTGCTTCTATGTCGTAATGTACAGTTTATATATTTATATATTTATAGTGGAAAAACAAAAACAGAAGAGTTCTGCAGAGAATCTTCACCCAACACCAGAGACAAGGAAGCGAAGGAATAAAAAATAGTCATTCACTGTTGTTATGGTCATATGTAAGCCCTGCCCCCCCCACCTGTTATGTAGTATGATTCTGAGGTAAGACTGTGTCGACATGGACTCTCGGCTTGTTTCTGTAAAAACCCTGCACTATATGCATTCAAATGGTCCGAGAGCGCTCTGCTGAGGCTCCCAGGTTTGTTCCTGAAAAAACTAAAGAAAAAGTTATGTACCTGCTTTGTAACAGCAGCCGCAGCGTTCAGGAGCTGCGTGCAGCGCTGAGATATCTGTAGGGATTAAGGTCGGCTATGGCTGAGAGCTCCCGAGGTAAACTGGTACTTTTTTATTTAACTGCATCAGTGACACGGAGACACACACATGTCCTGCAACACATCCTGAGAGTCTGCAGGTGTGTGTGTGTGAGCTTCTGTATCTCAGAGGTTTGCCCGTTTTGTATACATGTATACATATACAGTATATATAGATATATATATATGTGTGTGTGTGTGTGTGTTTTGTCTCTGGTGTGTGGGGATTTGGGAAAGAGCAGAGTAGATGTTTCTGGATAGAAGACTACAGGCCTGCAGGCAGCAGGATTAGAGACGAGTGGAGCTTAAGGAGCACAAGGTGGAAAAGTTGGGCGAGGGTTGATGAGGTCAGGCTGCAGCGTTGAGGAAGAGACGGTGCTGAGCGGAGACGAAGGGATGGAGAGGGAGCGATTAACCAAGAGGATTCACAACCTTGATTCCACAGAGTCTCGTATCTACTTCCCTCGTTCTTCTCTTCTCAAGTTTTTCCAGTTTTTCAACACACAATGACACGTCCTGACATTCCTCCAGGTTTTCAGCAGGATTCCTACCAAGGAGAAATCCACCCTTTATTTAGTCTCAGATTTCCTACATTTACCAGAATGCATTGGTTTGCCACCCCCCTTGTTCTGGCTTTGTGAGGCTCCTCCCTCTGCTTCTTTATGTTAAAGATTCTGCTTTTCGATAACAAAGCTGCACAAATTCACGTTTCTGACACTGATTCTGTGTAAATTTGGGAAGTGTCACTCGTACCCAAACCTTTGGCATCTTTTAAATGATTGCTTTGGTTTTAAGGCCCAATACTTTCAGCAGCTGGAAGTTTTTAGATATAAAAGCTCAGATAAACCTGCTTTCCATCACCTGTCCAGCACCAAGCTGCAGACAGACTGAAGCTGAGGAGCCAGACACTTTCCACAGGAGGTGGTGGAGGCCAAAAATGGAGCAAAAAGGCGGTTGAATATTGGACTTCAATTCATCAGGTGGTCAGAAAGATGATGCTTTTTCCAATATCCACCGATCTGAAAGCATTTTTCATTCAAAGAAAGAAAGTTGGTTGTAACGTAAAACACTATTTTCCCTTTTCATTAAAAATCTAACTGGCCCTTACATCAATATCAGAATACTGTATGTTAGTGTGTGGTGACTACCTGGTGCACTGCCCCCAACAGGCCAACAAAATAAAGAGATACAGCTTTAATGGAGAAGCACCAGGAGCTAATGCTCTCAGCAGAGTACACTGAATATTTAGATTTTTAATATTTGATGGGTGGATTTTTCCTTTAACAGTTTGACTGGATTCTAACACGTTAGAAAAATAAAGTACAAGCAGAACTCGCGACATTCATTGTTCCATGCAATAAATACGACGGTTCAAAGTCAAACACCAAAAGCATTTGGGCAGAATTGATGAAGGAAGAAAAGAATTCAAAGTTGTAGGGCCGTAGTCAACCAAAGCAAATCTTGGTCATCCGTTTGTTGCACAGGAAAGATTGGACTCTTCAGAGAAGCCCCACCAGCCCAAACTAATTCTAACATATTAAACCATTTCAACCCAGCTATCTTTATTTATACTTCTTGACATGGTGTCAATTACTCTAGAGCCGACGTCAGGAAACAATGAAAAGCTAAAACCTTGCAGTCGACATGAGGATGTGTTCACAGTCGATGGAATAATCCTGGAAGGCCACAATACCTTTCCTCAAACACCTGCGATTGTCCGAGTGGTCGATCAATCAACCAGGAGACTTCAGCCCTACAACCTCATCCATCTTTGCTCGATGATTGTCGATCAAACTGGATTTTTTAGGAGGTTTTCTCTAATTGTCGCGCTGAAAGTTGTGTGTTTGTTTGTGTTGAGTCTGAACCATCAGATGCCTGTTGTGTACTTTCTTCTCTGTGATTTCTAAACGATCAGATTTCACTTCCTGACAGTTTTTCCAGATCCGTGAAACCCTGTTAGAAATAATTCTGACCTCCACCCTGACACCGACACCCCTCACCCGCCTGAACTCTCACCGTCGCCCGCATTAACTCCTCCTCCTCCTCCTCCTCCTCCTCCACCCACCTGGAGTAGAGTTTGCACAGTCAATGCTCCCACTTCCCGCCTGAGGTGGGGGGGGAGACAGGTCACGGGCACGTCATCATTTTTTCATACAGTAAACAAACGTCATAAAGAGAGTGAAGAGAAAACATACAAAATAAAAAAAAGGGAATAATAGTACAAAAAAATAAAAAACAACAAAAATAAGGAACTTACAAAAAGAACCCTCACATTACATCTCAGCCCCCCCCCCCCCATCCCACTTCTGACACCAGCAACCAAACCACAGACAGGAAGTGACATAGTGAGTGTGCTCAGAAAGGTGCAGAGGGCGTTGGCTCTCCAGGAAAGTTGAGCGCTTGCCCAAAGGTGCTTTTTTAAATTTTTATTTATAAAGATTATTTCACTTTCTCCTCGTCACTTTAGTTCCCATCCATGGATTGGCAGCCGAGACAGAGATCAGGAGTGAAAGCGATGGACAAAGTTGCGAATGGACGAGTTGAAGCTCAAACAGCTGCTGTGCTCTTTTCTTTTTGGAAGTCGTGCCAGTAACGTTCAATCGACTGACAACGGGTTTTTTTTTTTTTTTTTTGGCATCTTAGCCCACGAGCGGTGGACGTTTTGGTGGGTGTGTCTTGTGGCGGATTTGTAAAATGAGCAGCAGGAGCCTCCGGCGGTCCGCTGTTAAGGTGCTCGGATGAATACAGTGATCGAGACTATTTTGTTACAATCGTAGCTTGTGTAGGATCACTGCTTTTTGGAATCCCGCCCTCTGGTGACATACGCAGTAACTGCAGCTGCTGAGCCCCCCCCCCCCTTCTCTAAGTTGCAGTAGCTGCATTTAGTCACCAGGTGGCATCTTAAGAGGAACAAAACAGTCAAGCAGCAGCAGCTTATTCTTTGTAGAGAAGCTGGTCCAAGAACCAGGTCAAGTAAACTTACTTTGGGTCGATTTCTAATTGAAGTTTAAGGAAACTTAGTTAAGATCTGTATTGGAATCGTCACAAGACAATGGAGAGCAATATTTTATCCACAATGAGATTTTTTCTAACAGACATTCAGACTTGAAGCCTCAAATGAAGTGAGCCTGGCAGCATTTTGATTTCCTCAACTGTCCATGTGTTTATCAGTTGGCTCGTCCATGGGCTTTCTACAGTTTTTCTGATTCCTGCCCCGACAGCAGCTGCAGCACAGTAAAAACCAAACATCTGGTCCGGCATCAAAACCCCAAACCCTCGACCCTCCCACCGGCAGCACCTCAGTCATACAACAATCACAATGCAAAAATATGTGGTTCTCTTTCTCTAAACTATTTTACAGCTAGCCATGTCTCCGCTGTCTTTTTGTAAATTTTTTACACAACTTGGCAACTCTACATACAGGTGTTAATGTTGAATTATTAGTAGCATCTCCTTTAAAATACCTTTCAAGGACTACAGTACACTAGCTCAAATGTAGAAAACAACAACAAAAAAAACACAAAAGG